GCTTGATATTCCACAAAACCAGCACATAGCAGGTGAAACGCGTGGCCTCCCTAACATTTCGAAACAGGTAACTGCAAGCAATGCAATGGGTGAGCAGGCTTCACTTAAGGATAATAACCCCCCAAAAGAGGTTCCCGGAGGGACGCAGAGCCTGCAACTAGTGCCCGCCGTTGGGAAAAGCCATCCGAGGAGGCCTCTCAACAGCCTGTTGAAAAATGTCAAAAAGTAAAGGCCCTTCTGCAGGCAGTAGTAATCATCGCGATGACCTGCTTAAAATGGACGCGTTAGATACTATCACGGAGGGCGCAGTCCTCCCAGTTATCGGGAACGTCGTGGAAAACATTTACTCTGGCTCTCCAGACATTCTGGAAAGGATGAAGATAAAGGTTCTGAGGCAGGGGGCAGGCTCGGGGCAGGGCATTACACCCATGTTGGGTCTAGATGTTCCATGCTAGGGGGCCGGAAGCTGGATGCTCCTTTGGACAGCCATGATTATATCACCTGGACTCAGGGCAACCTTCTATGGAAGGAAGGCAGCGCGAGTGTTAGTGGAGTGGTCGATGGGCCCGGAGGGCAATGAGTCCTACGAGGCCCTTCAGGTGAGGCTTAAAAAGGATCCTAGCAAGGCGTACTTGTTTCAGGAGTTGTGTGAACTTCTCAAGCCTCTATAGGTCATGTGTCGACCAAGGCTGTGGAGACAGCTGTCGGGTGGAGAATGGCTATGTGCCAAGTATATGAGGGAGTTTCCCCAGCAGGAGCGCTACAGTAGGTGTGGCCCAGCAGATGGTTTCCACAGTGAGGGTCCGATAGTTCAGGACCTCAAGCGGCCGGACTGCGATCCTGCGACTGGTCTGACGAGTCCTCGTTTTGAGAGACCGCCTTTTGGTCGTTATCACCCCAGTACAGGTTTTCTTTCATATTCTAGGCCATAATAACTTGGGTAGCGGAACCATCCGGAGTCGCGTTAGCACGAAGATTTCGGGTAGAACCAAACACAACCTTGATCTCCTGACCAGATTTCTACTGCGCCATAACGTGGCAGATCCATAACCTTAACTCTAACAGCTGGTAATTCTGACTGATTGGCAGGAGCAGTTGCACATTAGGCGACCACATCCAGACCTGAACTGTCTGCTGGTGCTGGGCTGGCGCCTTCTGCCTGCTGATCTACCTGGGCCGCCAGCCCACTGAGGCTCCAACGTTGGAGGTAGGCGATGTTGTTGATGGGGTCATTCAGACACTTGACATTGACTTCGCGTGGGTAAAAATCAACAACGCCGGCATCATAGGGAAGCTGATGGTGGGAAGAACTTGTTGAAAGTTATGCAGTTATGCAAGAAGAGGACGAAGTGTATCGCTGCGAGATTATACGCGTAGAGGATGGTTGTCCGATTATGGTGGCCGAGGATCTGGAACTGGATGAACACTGGAAGTCTGCCGGGGCTCCTGTCCAACCTGGAGATCCAGGTTCTACAGGCCCCAGTCCTCAAAATCAGGCTACTTCTTCCGGGGTACAGGAGAGTGCTCGCCTTATGAGCAGTGGGGTGGCCCGATTGGGTTTTGCTCGCCCAGGCCAGCAGCTCTACCAGTCCTGGTGGGACAAGTGGAGAGCAAGGTGAGGCGTGTTCACGCAATCAGGCTCAGGAGCTCAGCAGCAGGTGCAGTTCAAGCCGCAATTCCTTCCTCAGCCGGCACGGCAGCGCCAAGAGTCGACAGTGAGCGAAACTTGATTGGGTCGCCTCGTGATACTCCTGAGAGTCTTCTCGGGCTGGGCGCTCACCGCCGCCTCCCATGTCCAAGGCTCGCGCCTTCGCCCCGCGTTCTTCTTGGCCGGTGATGCCATTTAATCTGCGCCGCGTGAGTCTTGGCCCTGGCTACTCTGGTGAGGGGCCAGTGCCAGTTAGCGCAGCTGACATCCACATTGCAGCCGCAGTTAGCTACCAGGCAGACGATCCTACGCAGTCTTCAGGAGACGAGTCCCTAAAAGCTGCGCCCGAGGCTGATTCCAAGCCTTTGGTTAGTAATTCGGTCCCAGCTACTACTTCCGAGATTCGTCAACAGGCCGGGGATATTAATCCTACAGCGCCATCAAGTAAGCGAACGATTGCGATGCTTACAATATCTCATAATAGTCAAGGGTTGGTGAAACTTTCCAATGTTGTAAACTTTTCCGGTTTACAACTTCATGAAGCCATTGTAACGCACGGAGATCGATACGTTTTGGAGCTGAAGCTGTTACTTCATCAGCCAGGGTTCAGCATTAAGATGTTTCAAGATGGAGTTGAAATGGTCAACCAACTGAAGCTTCGTGATCTATCCTGTGCTCTTCCCTTGCAAGTCCGAGAAAAGCAGATCTTGGGTCATGAAAGGCCACAGTTGGCGGCCTACAAGGTCGATCCTCAAGTTGTTGGATCCTTGCTACTCCAAGATCCGCAAAAAGACTTGTAGCCTTTCGTTTGAAGGGCCACATGTTATACCCTTCACTACAACCCATCACTTTTTTGGGATGCTTGGCAGTTGATGTTGAGGGCAGAGTTGTGAGCACGCCTAGCAAAACAGGCATGATTATTTTGTACGGCCCGAGAAGACCTTGGCCCTCCAGATCCGCGCCTAGTTATTAGGCGCCCTGTCTTTGCCAATTTTGTAACCTAGTGTATAGGATTCCGGCCTTTAAGTAAGTCGGGTTGCCTGGGGGTCAACTTCTGCTTTGCAAGTAAAAGCCCCATAGATGCCCTTACCAGGGTGGGGGGAGGCAGGTGCGCGTGAAAGCAGTGAGTGCAAGCGCGCCTGAAAGTAGCACAATCATGTACCATGCCCATAAAGGCTAAAAGTCGGAGGGTTCTAAGGACGTAGATGCCCAATACTTCCAACACCTGTTAGTAACATGGTAGATGTGTACAGCTCGTAGTCAACTTGTACAGTTTTAAATTATGAAGAGTAGATTGTATCAGTATTTCATACCTGCTGATGTCCGCTGTTGGAAGAGGTACCAGCTGTCCGCGTTGCTCCGCTTTGCTTTGCTTCTATTACTACTACTATTACTATTGTTATTATTACTACTGCTACTACTATTACCACCACCACCACCACCCCCACCAACACCACCGCCACCACCGCCACCACCACGACTACTACTGCTACTACTATCACGACCGTTACTACTATTACCACTACTACTACTGCTGCTGCTGCTACTGCTACTAGTACTACTCTAGGGGAACGTCGCGTAGCTGACGGTAGGTTTGTGTTTATTTCAGGGTGACTTTACAGTGGTTTCGGTCTCTTTTTTTGAAATTTCTGGAGGGGGCGGCGTTTTGCTGGAAAAAAACTGCACAACGTTCGTTTCTGGTGGTGGAGGTGGGAGGGTGGGGAGAGGGAAAGGGTGGGGGGGTAATTACGTTCGGGACGACATTAAACACAGCCTGTCTGAATATTAGTAAGAGGAGTTACTCCCGTCGTGACGACAGTATGCACAGCAAGCTGCGAAAACAAACCTCACAAACTTTCGAAAAACTTTGAGAAAACCTGTCTGAGTATTAGTGAGGGTGTTACTACAGTCGTGACGACAGTAAGCACAGCAGGCTCCGAAAACAAACCTCACAAACTTTCATTTTCATTTTTTTGAAAGTCTGTCTGAATATTGTTGATCAGTCATTATAAATTCATATGAATTATTAGAATTGAGAATCGACCAATCCGCGCAACATGGCGCAAAGTGCTCCTTGAAACCAAAATGGTTGCCGGCCAGCAGGTTCCTCAAATCACGTAGTTTGCCAGCCCGCAACTCATGACTTGTCCTCTCTAAAAGTGCTGGTGAGCGCAGCATTTTTGCACCCCGAAATGCACAGTAATGCACCGTCGCTGGCGAAACGTGGGCCTACTACTGCTCCTATTCCTGCTGCTGCTACTTCTGCTGCTGCTACTTCGACTCCTGCTGCTACTGCTGCTGGCTACTGACGACTAACTACTAACAACTAACTACTAAAGACTAGTTACTAGGCTACCTACTACCTATACTACCCACCGGGTACTAGGCCAGCGCGCCTCAGGGTGCCTGGGCCTGAAACTGGCGTCAACCCGCCGTAGCAGTGGGATTCGCTGTTCGTTTGAAAAAAGGAGAAATTAGTGAATTTGAACGAACTACTTTTGAGGGGCTGATTTGCAAGATTTTGACAAAAAAAAGCTTTTCTGGATGACTAGCAGAGACCTCGCAAGAATACTTCTCCGGTACTGTATTAGGGGCGCTAATAATATCTCGACATAGTATACTTGAAGAGCATCATAAATCCGGCCCTCCATGGTAAGTAACGGGGCTCTTTGAAACATGCTTGGGCCTTACTAGTGCGGGGCTTCATGAATGGGACTGTTGCAGCTCTTGGAACACGAAAAGAATTATGCTTTGGGCATGGATGCTCTCGTCACCGTATGCTCTTGGAACACGAACGGAATGATGCTTTGAGCATGGATGCTCTGGTCACCGTATGCTCTTGGAACACGAATGCTATCCTGCTTGGAGCATGGACCCAAAGCCTCACAATCCTGGATTTCATCTAGGATTGCGTCCTGGATGAACTCCTGGGGCCTGACCTCTGCCCCATCCAATCCGACCAGAGCTTCACAATCCTGGATTTCATCTAGGATCGCGGGTCACCCGAGATGAAACAAACCCCCCTCAAGGCAGGTTGAAGTGATCAGCGTGATGTGAGCATCCGGCGGAAAATGAGAGATGTGCGCGACCATGGGGCACCAAGGGAGCTTCCGACTCTGTCAGTGCCTAGTTTTTAGCTGCTGACATGTTGCCACCAATCGGAAGAAGATGTCCTTACTTGTAGGATGCCATGCTCTTTGTGGTCCAGGGATCAGAAAACCGGAAACGAATTCGTTGGCCATACTCTCAGGCCCCCAGACTCTTATCATCTTTTATCTGGCTAAAACCCCTGGGTAAACCCTGAGCTCCAGTACCAACCACTATATTCAATTGCTTGGTGTTGACTTGCAAGGCTTTCCAATTGTGGCTCTGCTGAGTTTGGCAAGCGCCGGAGTGCCTTGGCAGGTTATTGCACGTGGCTGCATGTGTCTGTCAGCATGTGGTTGGATATGGTTGTTGGCTGAACGCCGAGGCGACGAGCTTTTGGATGCTTTTGCCATTGCGCTTCTTTGTGGGAGTTGGCTTCGGCACCGGGCAGCCCAGTGCCGTCGCCATTTTGATGGAGATCTCACCTGTGCAGTCGAGAGCATTAAATCAAGGATTCGCGCAAATGGCTTTTGCCATGGGCGAGCTCTACTGTTGCCTCGTGCCTTTCTCAGATCCATTCTCCACTTGTAGACGGTTCGCAACCTCGCCCCTGCCATGTCAGAAATACGACAGTAGCAGTAACGAAGCCAATGAAGCCACCAACCAAGAGCAAAACCATCATGCCAAAATGCAATCAAGCACGTGCAGTTTGTTCAATTTGATTTTGGTGTTCTCTAGACCTGGTCGAATTTGCCCGTGAGTGCTTCTACGCATTGCTACCCGATCGTGAGAGGTCTCTTGTAAAACCATCAGGGACCAACGCAGAACAGTTTCCACACTTGTACTCAGGTGATGTGGTTGGACGATCCTACATTGGAACATTTAAACTGGAGACGGATGTTAACAGCCAATGCGCTTCCAGCTGTGTTTTTCTGGTTGGTTGCTTGGGCCTTCCTTCGAGAGTCTCCAATCTTCGCGGCTGCGACCGGTAAACGCGACGAGGCCTTGAGCATCTTGGAGGACATGAGCAAGCGGAACGGGCGTCCCAATGTTCACACACACTTCGATGCAGTTGAGGAGACAAGTGGCGCAGGGTCAATTCCCTTTTGGAATCAGTTGCCTACAATCATCAGTGCTTCGACCGCGGTTCTTTGTTTGGTGTGTTTCTCTTATAACCTTACTATCTATGGTGCATTCACAGCGTTTCCCGAGCTTCTGCCACAGCTGTTGAAGCGCACCCGCGAGAGTCCAGTGGCTGAGCTAGCAAGGGGAGCCTTTGTCGAGATTCCCGGCGACCTCTTTGGCCTCTTGGCCGGTCTGGCTTTGCCGAGGAAGTGGGTGCTCTATGGCTACTTCATTGGCTTGGGAATTTCCAGCCTGCTGTCTCTTGGCAGTCACAAGCTCGCCTGACTTGGGTCCCTCTTTCAGACCTCATGTTAGCAGCTGTCCTGTTTAGGCATCATATGAGTCGCGGTCAAAATTACCGTTTACTTTGTTTAGTCTAGGCGGTAGTTGTTATGCAAAAGATCCCCAAGATCAATAGGGGACGTCCTAAAATTGGCATTAATTCATGTAAGGTATGGTGAAGAGAAGATCCCCAAAACGTGGAAATCGATAGGGGACGCCCAACCTCAAAAAACAAGAGAGAAGTAATTTTGACGCCACTTCATATCATGCCTCCGCAGTCACTTGCACGCTCAACAAAGCTTAGGAGCAGTTGTTTGACAGTAGCCTTGCGTAGGTGAACTTTGTGCAGATCCGACTTTAGCATCAAAAGCAACAATTGCATGCTTTGCATGCTTGCAAAAGCACAGGTTCTGCAGCAGCAACGAATCGCTGGTTTTGATAGGGTACTACGGCAGCAAAGCCTTTCCTCAAGTTGGCTCAGTGTCCTTGTACATCCTTGCCGCGGAAAGCTACCACGCGATTGTCCGGGCTTCTGGAACGGCAACTGTCCTCAGCTTTGGTAGAATCGGAGCGTTCGTGGCACCCTTATGCTATGAATTCCTTTTTACCACATTCGGTACACACAGAGCCTTTTTCTACATGTCGGCCAGCCTGATGCTAATATGCTTCGTGCTCACAGCGGCTCTGGTCCCAGAAACGTTTCGTGGAGTTTTGGCCTACACGGATCCTACCTTTGAAGAGACCTTCCCCATCGCAGCTGGCTTCAAAACCACAGCCACGCACGGAGCGGTCCCTCCAAGGGAAGACATGACTTAAGCCCGGACACGCCTTTGGGCAGTCAGCTGTTGAAAAGTTGCTACTGCAGCGAGTGTGAGTTGAAAACAGATGTCGCTTTCATTTTCACCTTGCGCCGCCCCTATACTTGCAATGTGGAGGCACATCGATGCTCGTAGTCTTTGCGGAGACGCATCTCTCCAGGACACGTGCTTGAGCTGTTGGGCATGTGCAGTGATCCGCCTGTTTTTGATACAGAAGTGCGTTATGTCATATGTGATGCCATTGTGGATGAAGTCCTCCTCTCAACAGCTTTCAGCTGCCACATAGTTCCAAGACATGTGGTTGAATTTCCCTGCAGGAGGTGGATGAATTGGGCTTACCGAGCGCCACGCAGTTGCAGTGGCATGCGCAGCACAGACTGTTCCAAGAATGGTCCGAACGCAGCTTCCTCGAGGTCACGGCTGTGAACTGGGGCCAATGGCATGGTCCATATGCCCTCCCTCCGGAGCGCTTGGTACTGTGCGCTTCCGGGAAAGCATTCGTTTGGCTGCAAGGAGGCAAGAATGAAAGTGCATTCGTCGCATTAAGCTGGCATTGCTTTTTTGAAGCTAGTGTTGCGGGCGCCTTCAAGCAGCGTACCTTTTTTTGACAGATGCAGCTCCACATCCGCAGCCGAGCTGCAAGATGAACTTTGAAGTCTGCTCTCAGTGTTACACTTTTGCAATTCTCTGATTCAATTCGGGAGTGGTGCCGCATGAGATGACACGGTCCGCACGAATTCCAAACCTGTCGCCATTTTTCAGGTTTGAGATTGTCACGGATTTGACAACTACCAAGGTTGAACGCATCATTTGTCTCATCGCTCTTCACGTCCTTACCGCGAATGTGGCCGCAAGAAAAGCGACCACAGCCCGGGAATTTCATTTGGATGCCTGGCATCGAGCAGGGGTGGAAATGTCAGAGTGGCAGAATCGGCTGCACTGAGCTACTTAGCCGTTAATCCGGTATGGCCGACAAGGATCCTTGACCAGCACTACAATGTCATCATCGCACCGACCATGCAAGAGTAGCTTGGAACGCGATGGTGGACTGTTGCACTCTTTGCAGGCTTTGAGCATGGATGGACAGGCTGCCTGGTAAGGGCCTGGTGGAGGTGAAGCACGGGGACCTCTGTCCCGGCAAGGCTTGCTAATCGAGAGATTTGTTCAGTCAGCCAACTGCATGGCCAGAACTTCTTCGGGGAGAACGACGTTTCGGGGCCGTACCGAGGAAACTTTTATGCATAGAATGATTTGCAAGACTGTTCTGCTTCGCATTGCAGCACACGGGAGCATATGAGCCATAGTCTAAACTCCTTAAAGGGGGATTATATAGGGGATTATAATGTGGCACCCTTTTTAATGATGGGGGGTCCCCCCCCCTTTCCCTGAACAATTACCATTCCTGATTAATACGGCGGCCTCCCCTAAATTTGCCGCGCAATTAAAATCATGTGGAACCCTAGAATCTATCTAAGTAATCTTACTGGAAGCTTTTGAGCCTTATTTGAGCCTCTAATAAACCTTAACACAACCTTAAACCTTCAACTT